GGTAGCTCTGGGGACACTCAGATAAGCCTCCCGAAAATAAAAGCCTCGTGACAACTCTTAGCGGTGGATCACTCGGCTCGTGCGTCGATGAAGAACGCAGCTAGCTGCGAGAATTAATGTGAATTGCAGGACACATTGATCATCGACACTTCGAACGCACTTGTGGCCCCGGGTTCCTCCCGGGGCTACGCCTGTCTGAGCGTCCCTTGAAGGTCAATCGTCCCCGCGGATGCGGTGGCGGCGGGATGCGGCCCTCCACCCCTGGCGGTGGAGGGCCGTGAGCAACCCCGCCGCCGCCCTCTGTGGGAGGCGCGGCTGGGGTGTCGCAGGCACCGGGGATGGTCCGTCGCCCCCTTTCCCGTCCTCGGGAAAGGGAGCCCGTGGCTCTCCCCAACGCCTTCGTCCCCCTAAGTTCAGACCCGATGCCCCGGAGCGCCCGCTTCGGGGAGCTCGTCCCGTTGGCGGAGGAGCGGCGTCACGGCAGCCGGTCCCGTGCGCCCCGTCGCCCCATCCACTCTCCCGTTGTGCCCCCGCCCCGTGCCCCGCTCGTGCGGTGGGACGGGGTGGGAGTTTTCGGGGGATGTTGCGGGACGGACCAACCTCAGCCACAACTGAAGAGAGCAAAGAGCTTCTCCTGCTGTGCCCTGTAAATACATGAGGCCATATGGCCCAGTAATCTCAGGCATACACAGACCATGGTTGAAGGATGAAATTGGAGAGCCAGACAAAGGCACCAAATTGTCTGGAATCGTTCTTAGTCTCGACTTTGTAAAGTCTAATAGGGCCCCAATGAACTCAATTTTTTTGAGTTGGGATTAGAGTTGATTTTCCTTTGTTCAGGATCAGACCCAGCTAACCAAAAAGGTCCAAAGTGAACTGGACATGAATGAGGATCTGCTCCCTGGATGTGCCTTTTGTCACCAGCCAATTGTCCAAGCACAGAAAGACATGAATCCCTCTCCTTCTGAGAAAGGCCACCACCACCATCACACAATTTGGTAAAGACCCATGGGTCTGAAGATAGGCCAAAGGGGAGAACTGTGTACCATTAATGTTGGCCAGCCACAAGAAATCTCAGAAACTTAGTGTGGCATATTGGAGATCAACATCAGCAAACCAGACATTATGATTCAGTGCAAGAAGAATAGTAGTAAAGGTAATCACAGATTAAAGGATAGGTCTCTATCCTCCCTTGGATTTGGGGATCAGGAAGTACTAGGAGTAGAATCCTTTTCCATGAAGATGAGGAGGAAGCTCCTCTATGGCCCCCATAGCACACAGGGTTTCCACCTGCTGCGTAAACAATGACTCATCATAGTGGTCCATCCAGTGACATGGGTATGGGGATAGGAGGGAGACTGGATATGAACTGAAAAGCATAATCCGATCACATAGTGCTAAGGACCTACCTGTCTGTAATTATAACCTCCCAAGTACTATAGAAGTGGGACAACCTGTCCCAGAACAGAAGGGACGGGAAAGTTATGTTCCAAGCTGGAGTGCTGCTCTTGAGACTCAAGTCAAATAGGCTGTCAAGTCCACGAGATGAGAGGATGGGCCATTTGGTAGAATTAGACCCAGAAAGTCTTCTCTGTAATTTGTGCCCCTTTCTGGAGAAATACTGCTACCTCAGAGTAGGGGGACTGATGGAAATATCGCTGAGGGTGATATTGCTGCTGCTGCCGTTGATGGCTACCAAAACCATGTCTCCTTGGGGCCTGAACATAAATCATCAAGGAGCACAGGGGCTTTTGGAGGTCTTTAAAGGACTGTAATGTCTCTTCATTTCTCTCAGTAATGATGAGGTGACCAAAAACAGCAAGTCCTCTATGCTCTGCTGGATCTCACGAGCCATGACAGGGTTTTGCAACCACATAAGATCCTCCTCATTGTAAAGACTGAAGCCATTAGCCTGGATAAAGCATCCACTATATCCAAAGCTGACTGTAATGATGTCTTGGCCACTAAATGGCCTTCTGCAATAAAAGCCTTGAACTCCTCCCTGAAGGACTCTGGTAACTTATGCACAAATTTGAACATGGGGTCCCAGTTCACAAAGTCATTTTTATATAATAGCACATCCTGGTTGGCAAGACACATCTGCATGGGGGACCTGATGAAGCAGAGATCCCTCTTCCTTCTGACGAGGAATCTGAGCTCAGCTGAGAAGTTCCAGCCTGTACTAGTTCAGGCCCCTCAGTATCTCTGAGGGGCCTGATGCTCCACAGTGGTCCCCGATGCGGAGGCAGAGCTCAGGGCCTGCTTGAGAAGATGCGGCTTTAATCTTAAGTCTCAAGCCACCTGTGTCCTCTTTTTTAAAAAGCTTACAGATGGAGCACCTTTCTCTAATGTGCCCTTCCCCCAGACATCATAAATGTCAAGTGTGGGGGATGTTACTGAGGATAGCTACCCTACACCAAGGACAAACTTTAAACCATGGTGAGGGCATTCCACCGGGAAAAACTACCTAATTAATCACCACTACCACTACTAACTACTATGACTAACAGGTACTACTAACCAACTATAACTATATTCCAAAGAAACAGAGAAAAAACTGTGAAGGCAAGTGTGAGGTAAAAAAAAAATCTCACCGAATACTCGGACTCTTGCTGTAGGCAATGAGAAGGAACGAGGTGGGTGAGGGCAGTGCTGCCCTTATATAGCCACAGGAGGGGCTATGAGGGAAAAGGATGCAAGTTCTATGCTTACATGTACTGCTAGGCAAAATTCTCCAGCTTTGATGTGCTGGGTATGCTCACACAGTTGCAACCACACGAAGAACAACAAGGATTTCACTCTCTCCTCCAGTTCTTCAAAAGTGACATGGCAACTTTTTCCTCTTATCTTCATATTTGTTCATTATACGAGGTATATATGAGAGAGGACATGAAGTTCATAAAAAAGATCACGTTCCATGCATTAGGACTTTTAACATCTATTGCAATTATAAGCTTTTTTTCATTCCATTAAATATTTACATTTGCTGTTTCCCCTCTAACAGCGTTTCCAATTCTTGTTTAGTTATATTCACATTATTATGATCTCAGTACAGTTGACACCACTTATTATAAAGATTATTCTAATAAAATACAACTAATTCCCCCCGACTCCCCTGAATAGAATACAAAACTAGTCTGGTCAAAGGGAATCTCAACATTTCCTCATGCTAAACCTATGAAGATTGTCTTCTGAATCTCTTTTCATGCTGAGTTTAAATAGACATAAGAACATAAGAGCAGCTATACTGTGTCACAATGGTCCATTTAGCCCAGGATCCTGTCTTCCAACAGTGGCCAATGCCCCAGAGGGAATGAACAGAACAGGTAATCATCAAGTGATCCATCCTCTGTCACCCATTCCCAGCTTCTGGCAAACAGAGGCTAGGGACACCATCCCTGCCCATCCTGGCTAATAACCATTGATGGACCTATCTCCAAGAATGTATCTAGTTCTTTTTCTATTCTCTCTGACCAATAAGTGACACTTTTGTTTTGAATATTTGCTAACTGTGCAGGTTAGCAGGATATAACCAGTTCCTCAGGCTTTGCAACAGTATTTCTGTGGATACTTTTTAATAAGTAAACATAAAAATTAGAAAAAACAATATTAGAGGCAGAAAGCATTCAATGCCCTTACAACCAATCTTAAAAATTTGTACAAACAGATATTTAATGACTTTTCCTATTTAATACTGATTTGTTCAGATAGTGCTTTAAGAGAAGACTAACCCTCTATAAGAAGTTTGTCTTCTGCCCCCATAAACTTTAGTTCCGATATCTCTGAAGAATAGCCCCATCCCAGTAAGTCAGGCTCTGAGTCATCAAGGTATTTATGCATATGCCTAACTTTGAGCATGTGTACCACCACTGTAGTCAATGGGGCTACTCACATGTTTAAGTACTTTTGCTGACTGGGATCTCATTTGTTCAGTTTTCCTAACTTGTTTATTTTTACCCTGAGCCCTGAACAATTTATTGCCAGAAAGACATCCCCTTTCTTTTTTAATTGACAAATGAGACAGTAAGGATTTTTTAAAGTTAATTTTAACTTAATGCAGCACCCAGGTATTTTGAATAAATCGTCTACTGACTCTGTACATAATTTACTTCGTTAGAGTAAAAGAATAGGCATGAACACATTTAATGTACAAAAATGCTACTTTGATATTAAAGTTGATGGTACCAACTAATGAGTAAGGAAATTAGGAGTTAACAAGCCATACTGCCCTTAAGCAAGGGAGGACAGATAGCCTAGATATTAAATCACTGAACTGAGAATCAGAATACCTGATTCTTATTGCTGACTCTGTGACGGGCTTTGTGTGGCCCTTGCAAATCATGTAAGCCTTCCTGTTTCTGAGTTTCCTCATATATAAAATAGGCATAATATTTCTCTATCCCACACGAATGATGTAAGCCACTCATACTTTGGTGAAGAACACCCCAGACTGCTTATAAAAGTAGGAAGTAATTTCTTAGTAAAGCACATGACAGTATCCATTAAGATCCACTGATTGAGAGACTGCACATATGCATAATACTAAGTCACTTAGAGACTACAGGGATGGCGCTTTAGAGAAGATTTAGATTTAGAATGTCTTTCTAAACTTGTACTGACATTAGGAAAGTGGAAGATGGAAATGCCATTGAAGTAGATGGTGAAATAACTACCTACAGTATTTTGCAAGACAAGTTCCATGCAGTGTCTGCTTAGTCTCAAAATAAAATATATAAAGCAGTTGTAATTAAAACAAAAACAAACAAAGAAACAAAAAAACCACATACAGAAACACCACTTAACCCTAAATACAGACCAACGCCCAGGGTATCTTTTTATTATTTTTGACTTAGAACTACTTCAATAAAAATGTATTAAAAAGTGAAAACAGAAGTCATTTACATTTCATTTTTGTTTATAAATTAAACATTCTTTAATGTATATTGGTGTAAGTGTGAAAAATACACTATTAAAACTATAAAAAATATTTAATACTACTACAACAAATTTTATTTTAACTGCAGATAGGTATTTTGTGAGTGCTATTTATATTTCAATGTAATCCTTACTATACCTGCATCACTGGCAGATTCTCCTGAAAAAATAAAACACATTTATCAGTCTTCAGATAGGAGATTCAATATCTTGCTAAAGAAAATAATGATCAAGTTAGACATCTAGTACTACAACAGAACTACAGAAAACTACTGCCCAAAAGGGACTGAATCATTACCATGAAGAGCAAATAATTTAGTGGAGTCTCCAGGTATAGAATCACAGTCTGTTCTATGATGCTGTAGTTATTGTGCAGAACACAGATTAGTGTCTTAATCATGGGCTGAAACAATTTTAATGAAAGAAACTACTGAAGCTTTCAGCTGACCAGACCATAGGGAACGGTCTCACTTCAATGTAAATTTAGCATAATCTACAATTACACTAACAAATGAAAGGTCTAGAGAAAAACTCAGAGATTAGAATATTTAGAAGCAGTCATCTCAAACACCTATAAACCCTTTAAAGCACTAGGTATATTATAAGGAAAGCTATGTTCAGTTCTTATAAACTGTTGCTGCAAATGTGAATGCCTGCAAAGACACTTTGTGGGAATCTGATGGGGGCCTAATGCAGTCAGACAGACAGCTGCCTTGAATTCCACTGTGATTATCTGGGTGCAATAGATTAATGCTCTCTGAATGATAACTCCTAAAGTAAACCGAAAAGGTACTGAATACCCCATGTGATCAGACATCTAAGCCTACCTATCGCTAATTAGCGAAATTTAAGAAAATAACCATTGCCAGCAAAGGGATGGAAACCATTTAACCTAAACTCCCTTTAGAACAACAGAAATGTCTCTCAGTACAGCTCAAGTAAGATTTCCTATTAGATATTGGCTAAGTAGGCAGTCCGACTGGAGAACTTCCTGTGATTGAGTAGGACTTCTTGGACAGCCGCAGAGCACTGCTCCTCCTCTTCATTCAGCCATGTAACAGCCACGACTAAGGTGCAGGGAGCTGATCACACAATGGAAAGTGCAGCCATGGTCCTGAGCAAGCAGATCTGGACAGAGAGGAAGTGATATGGGAAACTCAAGTGGCAGAGCAAGGAGGTCTGAGAACTAGCACTGTCTCTGCCATGCTGGAGCAAGGAGTCTGAGCTTGGCCTGATCCACCTCGAATTTGAGGATGACCTGTGGAATGACCAGGATAGGGGAGGAAAATATAACGACCCAACTGCCAGCTGCAGTGGAAGGCATCTGAGAGGGAGCCCGGACTGAGGCCGCCCTGGGAGCGGAATAGGCAACACTTTTTGTTTCCCCTCATTGCAAACAGGTTGATCACAGGGGTGTCACATGTTGCGAAGATGACCTGGAGAATACTCTCCTCCAGGGACCACTTGTGGCTCAGGGGAAAACACTACTGAGATGGCCCTCAAGACAATTTTTCACCCCCAACGACTGGACTGCTGCTTTAGTGATGTCTTCCTTAATGCAAAACTGCCACAGATTGATCGTCTCCAGATAGAGTAAACTGGAATGCTCCCCCACTTGCTTATTCACATAGTACATTGTGGTGGTATGGTCTGTGAGTATGTGAACCACCGAATGTCTGATGCAGTTCTGGAAGGCACAACATGCATTATGGAAAGCCCGAAGTTCCAGCACATTGATATGGAGGAAGGCTTCCTGTTCTGACCACAGGCCCTACATCCTCAATGAGTCCTGATGCACACTCCAACCCACAAGGGAAGTGTCCATAACCACTGACTTGGTCAGAGGGCCTAGCGAAGGGGACTCCTAGCACACATTGTGTGGGGACTCCCACTAGTGAAGGGAATCTAGGACTGATGGAGGGAGGTGAACCAATCTGCAGGACAGGGCAGTAAACTGTCCTGAACCATATCTGAAAGGGGCAGAAGGTGCAACCTGGCGAACTGGACCACCTGTGTGCAGGCAAACATGTGGCCCAACAAGCTCAGGCACACACAAACTGTTGTGGACAGCTGGGATTGCAGACTGAGACAGAGATGGTAAATTGCCTGGAAGAGGTCAGTCGGCAGGAATGCTCTCAACCTCGTTGAGTCTAACAGGGCCACAATAAACTCAACTTTTTGAGTGGGAGCCAAGATTGACTCTGAGGTGTTTAAAATGAGTCCCAGAGGGTGAAGCAAATGCAACATGATGTTGACGTGGGCGAGAACATCCTTTCTGGAGCCACTCTTCAACCACCAGTTGTTGAGATACAGGAAAATGTGGATTCCTTTCCTCCTGATATATTTCATGACCACCGTCATACATTTGGTGAAGACTTAGGGAGAACTGTATATTGAATTCTACTACTAAGAAACACAGAAACTTCCTGTGGCTCAACAGAATGCCCACATGGAAGTCCCCATTCTGAAAGTCCAGAGCTGTGAACTAGTCATTCTGAGACTAGTGCAGGGAGGACGGCCAATAGAGCGACCATATGGAATCTCAGGTATTTGATGAATTTGCTCAGGCTGTGAAGGTCAAGACTAGGTTTCATCCCACCCTTGGATTTCGGTATCAGGAAGTACCAGGAGTAAAAACTGTGGCCCCGCTGTTTTGGCAGAACTTCCTCCACCACTCCCAACTTCAACAGAGAGTTGACCTGCTTGATGAGCAGTTTCTCACGAAAGGGGTTCCTGAATAGGGACAGAGAAGGGGGGTGGGAATATGGTGTGGAGAGAAATTAGTGTGCAAAGTCTGATCTAATAGCTTTTGGAGGTAATAGAGTCCCAAGCAAGGTAAAAGCGGACCAACCCTGTCCCAAAAGGGGCAGGGGAACAGAGGAACGACTGGAGCAGTGCACTGGACAAAGAAGTCCAACGGACACTTAGCCTGCACCGAGGGAGGGCGTAAGGACTGTCTGAAGCCTGAGCCCAACTGCTTTCTTTTGTGGAATCTATCCCTCTTTCCAGGCCAGTCCCATTGTTTCAGGGGGAAAGGCTGCACAAAGGAATGCTGCGGGCAATAGGCCATTAGGGCATCTTTGTGCGGATGGCATGAACACTCCCAAGGACCACAAAATAGCCCTGGAATCCTTGAAGGAGTGCAAAGTGTCATCCGTCCAGTCCGAAAACAAGACTGAGCTGTCAAAGAGCTAGTCCTTTATGGCTTGCTGTATATCTAGAAAAAAGAACAGGAGTACTTGTGGCACCTTAGAGACTAACAAATTTATTAGAGCATGAGCTTTCGTGGACTACAGCCCACTTCTCTGAAACCTGTATATTTAGAGCGATCCCAGAGTTTTGCAACCAGGAAGCCCTCCTCATGGTTACTGCTAAGGCCATGGCCCTGACTGCAGTAACTGCAACATCAATGGCGGATTGCAGGGATGTTGTGGCAGCCAAACAGCCCTCTGCAGCAAATGCCCAGAACTCCCCACCTGAGGCCTCAGGCAACTGCTCTTCAAATTTAGGCATGGCTGATCAATTAAGGAAATCATACATGGGCAGTAAAGTTTGTTGACATCTCTGGGGACGATGAGGTATGGATCTTCCTAGCCAGGAGTTCCAATCACTTGGAATCTCTATCCTTGGGGGTAGACTTGAACCTACCTTGCTGGGCCCTGTTAATTACCACTGTTACTACCAGGGAGTTTGGGGCCGAGAGGGAAAAGAACTCCTCAAAACACTACATGAGAACAAAGTATTGCTTTTCCATGCGTTTCGCCACTGGCAGTACCGATGCTGATGTACTCCATAGGGCTCTTGACAGCTCAAGGAATGCATCATTGATCAGCAGGGCCACAATCCCAGGGATGACAGGCTGTAAAATGTCCACTGGTTTATGCATGTTCTCTTGGGCGAACGGCTATGCTGCGTAAAAGGTCCTAGAGTGAAATCCCTGCAAGCTGCATGGACACTTTTCAAGGACATCATAATAGAGGCCCAACTTAAATGTATACCCCAAATTAAAAAACACAGTAAAAGAACTAAAAAAGAGCCACTGTGATTTAACAGCCATGTAAAAGAAGCAGTCAGAGATAAAAAAGGCATCTTTTAAAAAGTGGAAGTCAAATCCTCGTGAGCTAAATAGAAAGAAGTATAAACACTGCCAAATTAAGTGTAAAAATGTAATAAGAAAAGCCAAAAAGGAGTTTGAAAAACAGCTAGCCAAAAACTCAAAATGTAATAACAAAATGTTTTTTAAGTACATCAGAAGCAGGAAGCCTGCTAAACAACCAGTGGGGCCCCTGGACGATTGAGTTACAAAAGGAGCACTTAAAGACAATAAAGTCATTGCAGAGAAACTAAATGAATTCTTTGCTTCAGTCTTCACGGCTGAGGATGTTAGGGTGATTCCCAAACCTGAGCCAGCTTTTATAGGTGACAAATCTGAGGAATTGTCACAGATTGAGGTGTCACTAGAGGAGGTTTTGGAATTAATTGATAAACTTAACAGTAACAAGTCATAGGGACCAGATGGCATTCACCCAAGAGTTCTGAAAGAACTCAGATGTGAATTTGCAGAACCACTAACTATGGTTTGTAACCTGTCCTTTAAATCAGCTTCTGTACCCAACGACTGGGAGATAGCTAATGTAACGCCAATATTTAAAATGGGCTCAGGAGGTGATCCCAGCAATTACAGACCGGTAAGTCTAACGTCAGTACGGGCAAATTAGTTGAAACAATAATAAAGAATAAAATCGTCAGAAACAGAAGAACATAAATTGTTGGGCAAAAATCAACATGGTTTCTGTAAAGGGAAATCGTGTCTTACTAATCTATTAGAAAGCAACAGAGGGCACCTTTGGGAGCATAAGCTTTCGTGGGTAAGAACCTCACTTCAAGTAACCTCACTTACGAAAGCTTATGCTCCCAATACTTCTATTAGTCTTAAAGGTGCCACAGGACCCTCTGTTGCTTTTTACAGATTCAGACTAACACGGCTACCCCTCTGATACTAATCTATTAGAGTTCTTTGAAGGGGTCAACAAACATGTGGACAAGGGGGATCCAGTGGACATAGCATACTTAGATTTCTAGAAAGCCTTTGACAAGGTCCCTCACCAAAGGCTCTTATGTAAATTAAGTTGTCATGGGATAAGAGGGAAGATCCTTTCA